GTGTGTGTGTGTGTGTGTGTCTGTGTCTGTGCGTGTCTCTGTGTGTGTCTGCTGCATCAATCAGAGGCTTTCTTGACTTTGGGACTTACTACGGCTTTAACCCCTTGCAGAGCACGGTGTGGGCCTTGGAATTGGAGTGTGCTGTTTGACCCTGGAGAACGCTGCTCCTGGTATCTACATCCATAGCCTGGCTCTGGGCTCTGTGGCCAAGATGGATGGCAGGCTCAGGTAAAAATTTGTAGTTTTACTAATATCAGAAGAGTAAAACGTGTTTTAAGGAGAGTATTTCTCAGTAATTGTGATAATCTACTCACTGACATGTGTGTGAATCTTGAGGAGACAACGTTCAGAGTTGTGCTGACACCTGTGCCTTTGTCCAGTCGTGGAGATCAGATACTCGAGGTGGACTCGGTCAGCCTTCGTCACGCTGCTCTCAGTGAGGCCTATGCCATCCTCAGTGAGTGTGGGCCTGGGCCCATCACTCTTATTGTAAGCAGGCATCCTAATCCAAAGGTAAGACCTGATCTCCTTTTAAATAAAAAGTTCAGCCTTCTGTAAAACCGCCTTAACTGTTGGTTTGATTCAAGCTACTGGATGAAGTTGCTCCTGCATCCTCTGTCTTGATCCTCATGATGTTCCTCTCCTCCAATGACATTCAGGGGTTCTTGAGCCAAAAATGTATCACATAGCCCGGATCTACTCACCAGTTTCTAGTTTAATTGAGAATTCAAAGTAAATTGAGTCTCATTCACCCAGACAAAAACACAGTCTATGTTCCATAAACACAATCCTAGGTTTCTTTTTAGCTCTGTATATACACTAATTAAGCATCACATTATAAGGACCTGCCTAATATTGTGTCGGTCCCTCTTTTGCTGCCACACAGCCCTGAGGTATTTGGCCATGGGCTCGACTAGACCCCTGAAGGTGTCAGTTGGGGTTTGTTTGTCCAGCACGTCCCACAGATGCTCGATTGGATTGACACACAAGAGCCTCGTCAACACCTCAAACTAATGGGCTACTCAAACCTTTCCTGAACCCAAGAAAGCTCCAGCTGATCCAGGAGAGAAGGACAACCGCTGCCTAAGTGAAAACCTGTAGTGATCCCGTACGTGTCAGGAGTATCGGAACAGTTGAGACGCATTTTTTCTAAACACCGGGTCTCTGTGGCTTTTAAGCCCCAAAATATGCTGGTCCCCCCCATGGATCGGGTCCCCCGACACAAACAGAGTAGCATAGTGTACGCTGTTAAGTGCAGGAGGATTGGCAGGATTTATACATCGGGGAAACCAAACAACCTCTGGCTAAGAGGATGGCACAACACAGCAGAGCCACCTCGTCAGGCCAGGACTCTGCAGTCTATGCACACCTACAGGCCAGTGGACACTCTTTCAATGATGAGGATGTAACATCCTGGACAGGGAGGCCATTTACATGAAAAGGGAAAGACCATCTCTGAATCGAGGAGGGGCCTAAGGGTACATCTGTCACCATCTTACAATGCTGTGATTGCAGCCATTCCCCAACTCTCTGTGAATGGGACTCACGGACATTAATCAATGGTTGTTGATGGTCATATCAATGGTCATGAAACTGACCACACGGCCCGTTGTTAGTCATTGGTATTAGTAGTCACTATGCAAATATAAAATAATACATGGTCTGCAACAATGCTCAAGTTGGTGGTACGTGTCAAAGTAACATCATGAGTAGCATGACCCAATGTCTCCCACTATCACTTTGCCCAAAGCATCAGACGGCCTCCACCAGCTTTTCTTCTTATCGTAGTGCATCTTCATTCAAAAACCCCTTATTCTGTTAAATGGGATTGTTGGCACATGTGCTAATTATTGTGTTTCTGGTAGATTCCTGAAGGTTGGTGCTTTAGGATGTATTTGTCTTTCTTGATGCTAAAATGCATCTTTTTGTGTTTCTTTGTCTCACCTCAGGTATCAGAGCAGGAGATGGATGACATCATAGCTCGATCCACTCACAGGGACAAAATGAGCAGGAACAAGCACTCATTTCATTCCCAAGGTCTGACCTGTACCAGCATTCACATTTTAATTAACTGTATCAACTATTTTACTAGTTAGCTCCATCATTTTACACATGGCCCTGCTACACTATTGTAGTTTAACTACTGTGTAGGCAAGAGCACTGTTTCTTTGGTCTGTAACAAGGTTTCAATGAAGAACACTGTACTGTGACAAGACAGGGTTGATGTTGTTCAGTCCTGGTCTCGCCATGGTATTAGATCACTTCCTGTTCTTGTTACGGTGCACTGTGGTGTTTTTCTGTAGGTCAATCTGTGTAGCTTGATTAACTGCAAATTTTCTCATTGAAACTTATTTCATAGTAACTTACAGGGGCTGTATTAAAGCATCATTTCTTCAGAATCACATGCAAATATTCACTAACTGTGTCCTTAGGGATTTGCTAGCTTAGTGTAGCTAATAGCTTAGCAGTTAGCCAAACCACTAGCAGCAGGTTTGTGTGTTAGGGGTTAACTGCACTTTCCTCCTCAGCTGTGCCCCAGCAGGTTACTGTGGAAGAAGTGTAGTCAAAAACAGAAGTGCCCACCAACCTGTTTAGTTCTGGGGAAAATTGATTCTGCCAGTTAATTTTCCCCAATCTGTGAAATACCTGCCAAAGAACAAAATGTGCTAGAAAGATTTTACTCTTAGAAATGTGAAACTAGAGTCACAGCAACCATGGTCAAAGTATTCCAGGGGCCAGAGCAGGTGACACTGGAACAACTTTGAAGGCTGCATCAGCCTCTAGTCCCCTAGTATATATGTATATGTAGTGTATATGCATGTCCACATGTGGGTCTTCAAATGGCGGCTGTCCAGAAAATGATGTAACTTTTATAGATAACTTAAATGTTCAGAGGAAAACCTGTTCTTATTAGGAGAGAGCCAGCATCTATACCTCTTTGGATTTTTTAGTTCTTTCTATAAAAATTGGTGAGATTGTATAAAACCCCAGTCCTACGGTCTTACAGGCCTCTTAGGAGCTTGCCTCCTCTTGTTACCAGCACCCCCCAGTTCCCACCCACACATAAACTATCCAACAAACCACACTCTCATTGCTGTGCAGCTGATACTCAGTTTTAGAATAGAATAGAATTCAACTTTATTGTCATTGCACATGCACAGGTACAGGGCAACGAAATGCAGTTTGCATCCATCCAGAAGTGCTTTAGTGATATAGATATATTACAATATATATTAGCAATAATATAGATATGTAAATATATTACAGAAATGGGTCTATTATGGAATGTTATAATGTACACGGTATGAAGTATGTTGTGAATATTCTATAACTATAAGTATGTACAGGCTGTAGTGAGTACAAGCTATGTACAGGCTATGAACAGGATATAAATATGAAAAACTATACAGAATATGAAATAAATAACTTTACAGAAATCTGAGATATACAGTTATACAGTTATTTATCTATGAATCCAGACATGACGGCCTGGATGATCTTTAATGTCCTCCCTCTAAACTCAGATAAAGCTGAGGTTAAACCTTAGAAATACAGTCACTAACTTGCTCCGTGTGGCATGTGAAAATGATGGCATCACTGAATTCTGTATTTGTCTGGGTTTGTCTATTGTGGTTTTAATGTGTAGGTGTGTCCTGTAAGAACACCAGCCCAGCAGTGAAGGACATGCAGGAAGACAGGTCGCCTATTCTCAGCTGGACCATGAAGAGGTTCCTTGAGCCTGCCAGCAGGGTACGTTTTCATTTAGACATGTATTTAGTTTTGTTGATGCATTGATAGGTTCAGTTTCAACCTTCTTACACAATCATATAGAATAGAATAGAATAGAATAGACTTTTATTGTTATTTTACATGTACAATGAAACTGTAGGTGCTCCACACCAGCTGTGCATGGAATAAAAGTGTAACTAGAAAAAGTTGCATTTCCTGCGAAAATGCAGTGTGAATGCCGTGTAGTGGAATCTAATGAAAACAGCTGAAGAAGCAGAACTATCTGCTGAAAAGAGCTGAAGAAGCTGAAGTTTGTGCTGAAAAGAAGTGAAAAAGCATAACATTTAGCCTAAAAGAGGTGAAGGAGCTAAAATTTCTGCTGAAAAGAGGTGAACTAGCTGAAGTTTTTACTGATAAGAGTTAAAGAAGTTAAACTGTCTACTGGAAAAAAAAATGGTGCTATTACCGGGATTTAAACCCAGCCCTCCCGCTTTGAGAACAGCTGCTCATCTCTCTGAACCAAACTGGTTCTCAACTGAGTCAAACATATGATGAGAGAAAAATCTGCAGGGTGCAGAAGACGCTGAGCAAACTGCTGAAAAGAGCTGAAAAAGCTGAAGTAATTGCTGAAGATGGCTGTATTTGAAAGGGTACACCGCAGACTGTCAAGAAAGCAGTGTGCATGTGAGCACGGAAGATGTGGCAACTGCCACAGGTAGGATTCGAACCTTCGCCACTGGATCTCAGCTGCTCATCCCACTGAGCCAAATCAATTCTAGTCCCGAAGAAAGATATAAGAGAAAAAATGTGCACTGTGCAGAAGAAGCTGAATTGTGCTGAAAAGAGGTGAAGAAACTGAAATTTGTGCTGAAAAGATTTAAAGAAACTGAAATTTGTGCTGAAAAGATTTAAAGAAACTGAAAATTGTGCTGAAAAGAGCAGAAGAGGCTGAGATTTGTGCTGAAAAGAGGTGAACTTGTTGAACTTTCTGCTAAAAGAGATGAAGAAACTGGAAATTATGCTGATAATAGGCCAAAAAGCTGAAAAATCTGCTGAAAAGAGGTGAAGAAGCAGAACTTTCTACAGAAAAGGGGAAAGGAGCTGAACTTTGCACTGAAAAGAGATAAGAAAGCTGTAGTTTCTGCTAAAAAAAACAGCTGAAGAATCTGGAATTTTTGCTGAAAAGAGTTTAAAAGGTTTAACTGTTACCTGAATTTATTTATTTATTTATTTTTTTTGCCATAGGCGGGATTCGAACCCGGGCCTCCCGCTCTGCTCATCTCACTGAGCTAAAACACAGCAAAATCAGTGACCACACTTGTAATGTTGTCCTAGTCATCTTAATGTGCCAAAAAATTGCAAAAAAACCCCCTTAATATTTCAAAAAGTATAAAAGTTATGAGCACCAAAAGAGTAGGCGTTAGCAGAAGAAGCAGAACAGTTTAAAGTTTGAATGGTGAAAATCGGATGAAAACTGAGGGAGTAGTTAACCAGCAAAGGTCTGAGCAACTAGAATAAGGTAGAAGAAAGAAGAAAGAGAAACAAGAAATCAATAGTGTGAATGCCTCTGAGGCATTTATTTATTTAGTTCCAAGTTTAATTAATTAATGACTCTTTTTATTAATTAATGGTGTATTTATCTATTCATTTTGTCACTCCTGGCCTTCCGTACACAGCAAAATCTCCAGTGTTAAATTAACACTAGAGAGTGTCTATATGGGTCCACACCTCTGAGTGTTAAATACAACACTGTTGAGTGTTAAATTAACACTTTTGACAGTG